TTTGGCCTCTCAACGTTTGAGTGGACGTGTCCCAACACCGTTGAATGTTTCAGTATATTTTGTGCGGATAGTTGTTCGCTAAAATGGGGCTGAACAGCAAAATTCCCAGCAAGTGTTTGATCCAGGAACGGACCGATCAATTTTCTGGTTTCAACTACAATTGGTATACAACAGCTCTCTTCATCATGCGTTTCGCATTTTGAGATCATGAGACCAAGATGCCACTGCAAAGCGTGAAACAAATGGCCAATGGGCTTAAAAGTATCATAAAACGTCATCAGTAGGTTGCAGTAAAGATTGGAAGAGCAACAGAAAGGAGTACAAATGTATATAGATGCACCACTGACACATTAATGGGTGCAAAATGATGTATCTTTCTTAAAAGGTAACTTAAAGTGGTCTGGTCTGAGCCCTGAAACTCCAGGGCTGAAAGGGAGTCCCACTCCGGCCCTGTACTGTGCCCTCAAAAGTTTAGAAAAGATCACATTATAGTACATTATAAATTCATTCCGAAATGACACTCAAAAGCCGAAAAGCTCTGACTTTCTGTGAAGTAGCCTGAAAAAAAAAAAAAGATGAAGATATGTTCAGAAGAATGTTTTTTTTTTCAAGGTCAGTACACTATCATACAACGCCTTTATTGAACAAAACATAGTTTCCAATCGATGTGTGTCCAGATCAGAAACAAATACTGGGCCCTCTGCTCTCCTCAAAGAGGAAGACAACGACAAGATGAAATCGACAACAGACAAACGTATTTTTGGAGGTGACGTCGCAGGTGAACTTTGACCCGCACTGCTGAGCTCAGCTGTAATGATCTTCTGTTATTGTGACTGTCAATGACCGTCGCCGCTTGTCCTAAGGTGACGAATAGGATGACAAAGATAATACCGGCCCCTCCGGTTTCGGGTGTGATTGCTGGCTGGTCAGCGCGTGTGAATGACTCGGAGATATGGCAACACTTTATCAATATGCCGCTTTATTGAATTGGCAGCGCTCGTTTGCATGGCTGTTTTGTTGTCTTCCTGCTTCGGCTGAGACAGGCGCAGACATGAAGACAATTCGAGCGGTGACGGTGGAACAATGGCAATCTTTATGGGCTTTTCTTTCACTCTGGCATTTTGGTTTCGCCTTGCAGATTTAAGAACAGATCAGCTAATTAGCCCGAGTTTGATTTGCAAAAGGACATAAGTCGCGGGAAGATAATGGCATGCATAAATGCTCCAAGCATTCATTTCACTCCGAACATTTTGCAATAAACCAAGTTGAACAGACACCATATAGTGCATTTATTCCCAATCACAAATCACAATAGATTTGCGCAGCTGGGCAGGTGGGAGATAACAATGCCGGAAATGGGGAAAGGTGGACTGAAAGAGGCGGCGGTGCTATTAAATGAAACGACCACCATTTTTTAATCACAACTAATTACATTGGAAGGCGAGAGTGTGATTCTATCACTCGCGTGTGTCTGCTCTTTGGCATGTTCTCGACACGCATCGTCTGTCATGGATTCATCAGCCGGAGATCACAATCGCAATATTGTGTCGTTAAGTGTTGTCACGATGCCAAAATTTGGACTTTGGCACCTGTAAAAAGTAGCTGGATTTATTTTGCATGCATGCTCGCGTTTTGTCCGTATGAAAAATTGTGCCCCCCCCCCCCAGCATTTCAGTTTCCCATGTCTGGTCTAGATAAAAGCTGATTGCTGCTACTTTGTTTTTATAAACCAAGTGCTAACAACTATGGGTATAATCAAAGTAATGTTTGAATGACTGAATAATTACAGCTTTTTTTTTTTTTTTTTTTTGCTTAACCTGGTATAATTTGCAAAGTCACATCAAAATCTGTGGACAATTTTGTGACTAAATAAAAAATTACATTATTCTGAAGATTTTATTTTAGTTTTTTATGTACAACATGATTGCGATTGGATGTCAAAGTTTACATTTGTTCCTGATAACGCGCTAGAACTGGACTCATCAAATGATCCCTTCTCTTGTTAAACAGATATCATGATGGTGGGTAAAAATCGTATAACGTTGCATCGGCAAATCCTGTCGGCCACTGATTATCGACATCGTACTCAAAAAAAAAAAAAAACAAAAAAAAAAAAACAAAAACAGTTCAATGCGAATAAAGTTTTACAGTTTTGTTGCGGCAAATAAACCTTACAAGAATGTAATTTGGGACGAGACATTAATACAAGGAGGGCCCGTTAGGAGGCTCCCCAGTGGTTAAATTGCTAATTAATGTTGCAGCCATTTATCAGTCAAATGGCGGCTAATTAGTCTTTTCAATCTCGTCTGCCTTGAGACACATTTGAAACCGGTTCTGTCGCCCTCCTCCTCAGCTTTGACAATTACGGTACCCCCCCCCCCCCCCCCCCCCGCCTGCTCCTTTGTCTCGGGAGAAGCAGGCCCCGTTATCTGTGCACATCGACGCTCGTTTCCCATCTGTAAACATTGGGCCGCTCAGAGGTTGACCCGTAGCTACTGTGGTGAACTCGAGGTTACCCGCTTAAAGGCGGTATGGATGGAAAATCATCACGTCTGGGTGTTATCACTAAGGGCAGCTGTAAAAGTGGTGCTGGACGGGAACCTGTGGTGAGGGAACGGCGCGACTCTGGATTTGGATTTACACTCGGGGGTGGAAAAGAGCAGAATGACGCATGATGACGATAGTATCAATGAAGTTATTTATAATCTTGGGACAAAAGACGTCTTGATTGTCAATGATGTGAGAACTTGCATAGACAGCTTTTGTGAGCATAAAACAGATGTGAACATTATTTTTTTATTTTTTTATTTCCACCATTTCACTTTCAAGCATTTTAACCCTTTCATGCACTCCGTAACCTGATAACATGATAAGCTGTCCACTGTAGTAACCGCTGTCCCGAAAGGGTTAATATTTTTTCAGTATTAAAAAAAATCAGCGATTTAATATGTACATGTAGTCGAGAGTAAACAGCTGAGTACCAGTTGGTAGAAAGATTTTTTTTTTGTACTCTCCCAAAAGCAACACAAACAATACCAGGAACCCTGTTGTGTTCCAGTGTGCACGCAGCCACTCAAAATCAACGGCAACCATGAATTTCCCAGCCATGTTGATCTCACTCAGGATAACGTGTATTGCTCCGTCCCATAACCTCCCTATGTGTCAGCCCCCCACCCCCACCCCAGCCCACCTCCATCCCTGCCCCCCGCCAAAATCTCGACAGTCTTTGAAGCAGATTACACAAGCGCCCTCACCGAAGCTCGGAAGGCTTCTCTCACATACAAACACAACAGGATTAGCATGCATGTTAAGATCGATGAGAGAAGCCGCCGCTCCCGTGTCCGCTTTAATGAGAAAAGAGGATGTTCTTTATCAAGACAAGGAGGATCCACCTAATAATCTTTTCCTAAGTAGTACTGACAAAAAGTGCATATTAAGCTTTATCTTTTTTTTTTTTATTATTATTGTTATTTTTCAATTATGCGGTTCCAATCATAATAGATTTTGGTTTGTGTATTTATTGGTCGGTGTGTTACGATCGTTCAAATAATATGATTCATGATTGGATGAAAATGTCAAAATGTTTTTTTTCTTCAAAATGTCTCGGAACAAAAAACTGCTTTTGCAAAGATAATGATCGCTGCTGATCTTTTTTGAAACGTTTTTCACATCAAAACAACAATAACAGTCACATTTACCAAACGGACAATTGAATGTACATTATGTTTAATTGACTAGACTGAATAATATTAAGCTGTGCAATGAGGATTGATTAGTTATGCAAGGCATCCTGTATAGGAAAAAAAAAAAAGAAATAAAAATGGATGGCAAATGAGCGCTGCTAGAAAGCGAAATTGGAGAGACACACAGACGACGAGCAAAACGAATATTTTGTCCCCCTCTCCGCCTCCTTTTCTATAAGAGGAACGCGAGGAGATAAGACTAAAAGGACTGTCACTCAGGGGAACAAACCTTCCAGTGTCCCCTCTTACTCCCGCTCCTCCTGCTCTCTCCAATTTCCTCAGATTCCTGCTAAGATAGAAGCACTGTTCACAGCGTCATCTTGAAGTATTTCCAGCCAGACTGATGTATGTCGCCATTACTGAAGGCACTTTATTACAATTTCCGACTAAATCGTACTACAATCTATGCCATTAGGGCAAGGGGGTGTCAAACTCATTTTTGTCGCGGGCCCTTTTCGAGTTACGTCTTCCACCCCAGAATGCCGTCACGGCAGGGAAAGCGAATAAATGTTTAATCATCACATTTTTTGGAGTTCTGAAATCAGTCAACTATTTCTTTGTTGTTTGTTCAAATATTGTTCAAGTGAGTGTAAACAGAGTAACACAATTATTGAAAAAAATCTCTATGTTATTTATTACACATGACAATGTGACATTTGGTACATATTTTTAGCGAGGATCACGAACGCTGACAGACATGATTTGCTTACGCGGACCACATAAATGGACGCGGGGGGCCAGATCTGGCCCCCGGGCCTTGAGTTTGACATATTTTAACTGCACGTTTATTCTAAATGGTTGCAATTCGCAGTGATGCGGTACTGCACTGCATTGTACTGTACATTTCAAATAAAGGTTGAGAATAGTTTGATCATCATAAGCCCGCCTTACACCGAGCGATGCATGAGCGTCCAAAAACAGTTTTTGGGGGTTTGTGTGGACCGTGATTATATTTGACGTGGTGAAATTTAGGTGATTCACTCAATGTTGTTTTAGGGCTCAAGCACGATAGAAGGTATGAGTCAGTGTGACATGACAACAATCGATTTAGATTATTACAGGTTCTAATGGGCCCTTGGTGCTTTTGCATAAATGCAACACAAAATTTATTTTGTAATGTCATTTGACCCGCCCCCCCCCCTCCCAACACACTACTAATTAATTCACCTTCCTTTGGAGCCCTGCGATTGCATTCATGACACAAATTGATTCATAAAGCACATCACAAGTGAAGAGGCAAAAATAATGACTGGCAAATGAAGTTTTTGATAGGCTTTGTTTTATTTGCGTGACTTTTCCGATGAATCTGATATAATTGCAGGTCAAAAACCCTTCCGCTGTTGTCATTTCAAGAAATGATGTCAAAAAGAAAATTACAACGTGATTAATCATTGACCCCAGTGACAGAAGAAGAGATAGATAACAACATGATTGCTTTATAACACCATTTTTTTTCCCATCCTCAGCTGGTTTAAAAACCTCCCGTTATCAGATGTGTACAGAAAAAGAAATCAATGGTTTGCTAATTGTTTTTTAAGACCTATTAAAAAAAAGCACACAAAAAACAAAACAAATGCTTGTTGTCAGAAGGGTGAATCGAGTCTATCTCGGTTTGGTGAGATTAAACTTTTCCCAGTAGTTGCAGCTATACGCTTTTATCTAATTTAAATTAAGCATTTTCCACCAAGCCATAAAATGAAGTCAGCGCAGGCTTGCTCCAAGGACAAAAAGTCTTGATGAATGTTCGGACGGCATCGTGGAGGTCACGACTGAACCATCTTCTTATGGGGGTCGAAGACATAGCGCTTAAAATCCAAGTGAATGCTAACATGCTGAGCGTCGGCTTTGGGCTCGTCTTCATTTGTGGCGCCACAGTCTTTGCCGCCCCCCTTCCCCTTTTTCTTGGAAGTGGTCGAGGACAGCAACTGCTTGGTTTCTGGGCGGAGACCCTCTGAAGAGAAGATCCGCAGACATGATTTTTTTTTTTCTTTTTAATTCTCTATTAATTTAAAAACCCATTGACCTTCACGCCTTATGAGGGACTCTTTTCTGTTTCCAATACCCATTGTACACTTTCCGAGGCACACCTGAGCAATGTTGGGAAGCTCTGCATGTGGTCGCAGATGGTACAAAGTGGGAAAAGACATCTCCCTATTAAGACCACTAGTATCATGTCAGAATCTATAATAAATAAATAAATAAATATAAAGATATATACATACATACATACGTATATGTATATATAAAAGCATGTACAGTGGTACCTCTACTTACGAACGTCTCTTCATATGAAATTTTCAAGTTATGAAACGCCTCAACAGGAAAATATGGCCTCTAGTTACGAAAGAAATTTCAAGTTACGAAGTTAAAAATACAGTCTGGGCTGCTACTAGTAGCTCAGAGTTTCCTGAATGCAACATACTTATAGCTGCTCTGCCATTGGTTATGACCGAGCATCATCCTGGCATCCCATTGGTTAAGAGGGACCTCTACTGAATGTGTCTATGCGTGTAGATAAATAGATATGTATATGCAGTGTATGCAGCATCCTCGTCATTCGCCCCTCGGGCCACGAGGTGTTCCGATAGTTTTCCGTAAATGTGAATCCCCAGAAAAAGTGTTCACCAGTCGAGCGATCGCTCACTATACTGATGTTTGACTTGGACATTTTCGAAGGATTGTTAAAAGCCGACAAAAGCAAACGTCCTTGGATCAGTTCTTTAGAAAACGCCAGACAAAAACCACAGAGAGGACATGAACTAAAGAGGGCAAAAAAACGATGAGGATGCAGTTAAAAGTTAAATGACCATCATTTTTATTCTTTACTTTATTCTTTGTTTTTTACATTGTGCACAACTCTCATTTATTGTGCAATTGTCACGTTATAGCATGTATTTGTTACACATTTTGATGCATTTTTATGCTTCATGAAACATTTATGTCTGAATTTTGGGGGGGCTTGGAACGGATTAGGGCATTTACATGGAAAATGCGTCTCAACTTACAACATTTTCTCGTTGAGAATTTTTTTCCAGAACCAATGAATTTCGTAGGTAGCGGTACCACTGTAGTTCAAAATCTATTTCCGCAATTTACAGAGTGCAACTCTTGCGTCGAAATGACAACCACGAAATAAACATTAAGCTGTCCTGTATCTCCGACTGCACTGGCGAGTGTGCATTTTAGCTAAGTTCATCAGCGGCGGCTGGAGCACGTGCGCCTGCCTCCACATGACCTGCAGCCTTCACTCTTCAGATTTAACAGCTAAAAATGTGCAGCAAAGCAGGTCTCTGTTCCTCAAGGAGACATTCTGGAGCATGCCGACGTTAATTCCAACGCTGCGCCTCCCAGTCTGTTGTCTGCCTTGTTCTGAATTTCTTGAGAACTATGAGTGACTCTGTCACGCTCCTTATGCCGAGTCACATTTCTGCCCTTCTTGTGCTTTTCTATTTGTGCCCTCCATTCAAACTGGCTGCTAATTTGGCCCGCGGGTTTTGGACACGGAAGGTAAGCAATGTTCTAGTTTCATTGCTTAACACGCTGTCTGTCTGGCCTCATCCATAATGGCGCCAGCATTCTTGTTATCATTATGCCGATGTAAGGGTTGTTATGCAGTGAGATATCGCGGCTAGTTGTGGCTACAACAGCGTGCACAAACTTGAAGGAATTTGTGTTTGCATGCAAACGCATACAGTCGAGTCCTCTTCTCTGTGAATTAAACGTATTGTGGGTTGGCCAAACTTTTGTACTCAAAGGTCACATTTGATGTTTAAAACAGACAGATAGGTCATAATTTCTTTCAAATGTCTCGGTCAAATAGGTTGTTTCAATAATAAAAGAATCATTACTTTTTCTAAGTGCATTGTTGATAAATACTGTCATCATAATCGATGACGTAGTCAAGTATTCGATCACTGACGATGAGTCTCGGTTTTCATATGCCCTAGTTTAGCTTTCGTTTTTGTCCGATCCAGTTTACAGGACTGTTGATTATACGCATGATTGGTGGACGTGATTAAAGAACAGAGAGGGCCTTGTGTGGCCCGCGGGCCACACTTTGCTCACCATTTCTAGCTGTGCCCCAATCACAAAATGGGTAGTAACTATAATTAGCTGCATGTCAGTACTTCAAATATGCTGTTGCTACACACGGCTAACAAAGTTAACAGTTGAATGTCGTTGCTGACCAAAACAGCAGTACGGACGAGTACAAAATAGTATACAGTACTCAATCAAGTACTGTAGCACACAAAACATGACGAAGTGTGGGGACTTACTGCATGTAGTTAATGAGCTCCTAGTGTTGTTGTTTTTAAAACATTTAATTTCTTTATTTTACTCATAAAGGCCTCAAAAATGTTGGTTTTGGTGTAAAGGTAGCACAAGTTGATCATATAAAATACAAAGAGGAACTTAAAATTTTAAAAAAGTCTCTCATGTCCTCGGAATGATAATCTTGCTATGTAACATTCAGGCTGAAAAGCTCACTTCCTCATCATCAGATGCGCCATAAGCAAAAAGCTTATGACAGGTTCACGTACTAAACAACATGCAGCATTTCCACAAATAGTGGCCAGGGGAAAATACAATCAGTGCCTTGAATTTATTGGGGGGGGGCTTGCATTTTCGCATTTTCACATTGCAGTTTTGCACTCGCTTTTTTTAGAATAAACATATAGCCTCGTCTTCGCCCCAAGCCGTTAAGTCAAAGTTGGCATTGGCTCTGCAGTAGAGAGGGTAAGTAAGGTAAGCAGATAGGATCACACCCCAGTAAAAAGTGGGGGATTTCTACCAGTGTGTCAAAAGTGGATGTTACGTGCACAGTGCATTAATTCTTACTCCTGGAGATTTTTTGGATGAAACGTGTTAAGACGATGTAACCAAAGAACTGCTTGACATGATGAAAAAAAAATGCCAAAAACGTCTCTGCGTGTGACCAATAGAGTGTATGAACTTAAATCATTACATTTGCTCACGCCCCATTTTTTTTTTCATTGATGGGAAAAGGGAACTGTCTATTTGGGAAGGGATGTTTATTTGTTCAAGTGGATGACGCAGCCAGCCACTAACCGAGACATGGCGTCCATTAGAGTAAAGCCGTAATGGTCACTATTTGAGGAAACACAATACACACTATTAGCAAATCGTGCTTACATAGTAATATAATAAGGTGGAAACACATTTAACAGAATGAAAGCTGGCTGGACAAATACCATCATTTCAGTGTTTTTTTTTTTGTTTTGTTTATTTGTTTTTTTTGTTTTGTTTTGTTTTTAAATAAGCAGATCAGCATTTTTCCCTAAAGTTATCAAAGTTATAATGTCTGTGTAGTCAGAACTGTTTTCAACAAAATTCTGTAGGGCGTATGCAGCATCACAAGTTACGTAATAAGCTGAATCTGCAACTAATCGGCATTCTGTATTGGTCAGCCTTATACGATTTAACATGGAAAATCCCATTGTGATGCATCAAATCTCATCAGATCGGGTTGTAATTTGCTGTGGTGAAGATAACGCGTATTGCATTTTGTTTGCCCGGATGCAGGAGAAATGATCCTCTGTGAATCGTGGCTGTTCACTCATTCATCTCACGGGTGGAAAAGGTTTTAAACCTTAACAGGTATCGGCATTCTCTGATCAGGATTGTGTTTATGATAACACTCAAATAACGATAGTGTAAGGGTAATGACTTAGAAGAAATAAGTTTTGGAACACATTCACCAGCACTTTCTTTCCCCAAGACTGTGTGTGTGTGTGTGTGTGTGTGGGGGGGGGTGTCTATGTGGGTGGGGGGAGTACATAGGATCGTGTGCTTCAGTCAATATTAGCTTGGATGCTGTAATACTTGCAGCAATCAGGATTGTGTTTATGATAACACTCAAATAACGATAGTGTAAGGGTAATGACTTAGAAGAAATAAGTTTTGGAACACATTCACCAGCACTTTCTTTCCCCAAGACGGTGTGTGTGTGTGTGTGTGTGGGGGGGGGGGTCTCCAATGAGGAGGATGTCGGTGAGGCTCTCTTTTTGATATGTTTTTGTTTTCTCTCCCCTCCCGGTGTGGCGCAGTGGGTTCGGAGCAACAGAAGGTAAAATAAATACAGAACAGATTTCCCCCGGAACACATGGCAATCCCCGGAGGAATCCCGGGAATGTGGCAGCCCTAGCACTCTTACCACATCCTGAAAACAATCTCCCAAGCCCCCCGGCCCCCCCTCAAAAAAAAAAATGAAAAAGTGTTTGGGGCGGGTCCAGAATAAGAAGACGACCTCTTGTGTCCAACTAAGCAAAAGTAACCGAGCCACTTGGAAACGTTTGGTCCTTACCTGGTATTCGAATTTTGAACTTCCCGCTCTGTCCAAACCCGCCCTCAATGACGCCGGTTTCACCCGTTGACAGCGTGACCTTCAGGCCCACAAAGATCTGCAAATTGGTTTCCTTCTTGAACAGGTTGCGGCCAATCACAGTGTAATCGTCCGTCACCTGCAAAGGACACAAAGAGGAAGAACGTGAACAGCCGACCCAACGCGGGAGGACGGTGATTCGGAGTGCTTGTTTGATGCACAAACTAATCTGAATACAGCGGTGAAAATGTCAGCCATGATCGCTGGGGCTGAGCGAGGACAGCCCACCCCTGTGTCATGTGCCCTCATCAAGCCCACCGCTGGCGCATTCTTCTCGTCTCGCCGCCTGACTGTCGCCTGTTGGTCGTTACTACACATTTTATGCCATTTGTTTGTATTCCTTGCTTATCATCCATCACTAATCTGATAACAGGAGGGCACCGCTCTGTCTCCGAGCCTCCTCCAGCACCACGACTAGCTCATCCTCTCTTCTTCCTTGCCCTCATTCACTCTTGAACATTTGACCCTTGAGCGTGACTGATGTGCTGATAAAAAGAAGCATAGTGGGCTATAGACGTCCGACAGACCGTACGAGGAGTCATAGCTCAACAATGACAGCAATGTGTCCGGCAAACGCCACGTGACGAGCAGTCTGACCTCCCGCACGCATCGTTTCACTCGAGAGTCGAGGAGTGAGGCAGTCAACACCTTGAGGTGCAAACACAAAGAAACTCCTGCGCGCACTTGACCCTTCGCCGACCTGAATTTCACCTCGACACGAGGGGCAACACGCAAATGAAAGTTCACGACATGTGTGGCTCTTCTCTAACGTTGCATGAAGACGGCGGTCACACCGCGTACAAAATACTGCCTGTTTAAGTTGCAAGTATTTTGATCATCGCATCAAAGTGAGAAGAAGGAAAAAGAAAAGCACTTACACTAAATACAAGGACTGAACATTTTTGAAAGCGTATCTAATTGCGATTTTTTTCCCCCTCAATATTGTGACTGTGATTTAATCTGCATTTTTTTTCAAGGCCATCTTCACACGTTTTTTTTTTAAACAAACACAAGCAATAAATTAATCTGTATTTAGAACTTGATTCATTTGCTCAGCTCTATTAAATACAAAATACTTGACTATAATCCACCATCTCGACAGTCAACTTCAACTCCAGCTTCCTCCAGCATTCCTTAACCGTACGTCTTCGGTTCAGTGAATGTGTAAGCGTGAACGGTTGTTTGTCTATTATGTGTCCTGTGATTGGCAAGCAGGCCAGGGTGTGGCTCGCCTCGGCTGGGATTGGCTCCGGCTCGTCCGCTCGCCCGAGGACAAGCGCGATTAAAAAAAAATACATAAATAAAAAATGGGTGGGTGAAATGTGATAAATCACCCAAATGATTAAATGTGACCGTTTGTCCTTTAATGCTGATTCTTTTTGCGTTCAGGAATGCAAGTACTATAAACTACTAGAGTCTGATAACATCAAGAAATAATAATGTGCACATGCTCATTATTTTTTTTTAAATAAATCTGTACATTTAAAAATTAATAATAATACATAAATTATACATGTATATTTAACATTAAAACTAAATTTATGGTTAAAAATCTTACATGTCGCTGGTGGATCAACTGTTACAGAAACAAAAAATAGCTAATATATTAATTTAGATCAGCTGTGGCAATTAATGAATGATAAATCTGTTTCGCATTATGTTGGTATACAAGTACGGACCTGTTAACCAAAGTGAAAATGAAATTGTCAAAAGTCCTATTTGTGCTTGTTTGCGCATCCGTTTTATTAGTCAGGAGGCTACCGTACATCCCGGAGGTGGTGTCATAATGATGGTGATTCACAGTGACTTGCCTCCAACTGTGAAAATAAATTCCTTGCCCATGAGCCACCTCTTCAACACAGTTTGATTTTTGTATCTTCTTCCAATAACGGTTGTCCAAATGATACTGTGTTAAGACATTAAAATGAACTACTTGGGGTCGTGACGTACGATGAAAGCGAGAGACCGTAGGATAAGAGTCACATGAACAGCAGGCGGTGCGCGTATTCCTGTGCCACTCAGGTGTGTCCAAACAGCGCCAGTCTCTGACAGCTAGACGGAATGAGTGGCGTCAGTGGGCCACCCGTATGCAACTCTGTGTCGCAGGCATGCGCACCCACACGTCTCCAACGGCGCTTGGTGAGACTGCCGATGCACAATTGTTTGTGTGTACGTGTCTGTTTGTGAACACGCAATACGGGCGTTGTCTGCGGAGCCATGCTCCAGCGCCACCAGCAATGAGAAGCATTCAAAGCACCGGGAGCAGTAGGAGGACTGCAGGGTCAGTAAGAGGGCATGAAGGCAAAGTACAGTAATTCACCTGCATATTTGCAGTTCAACCGATCCTCATCTATTCAGGAAAAAAAAAATCCATTTGCAGTTTTTGTGCTCTTTCTAAAACAACTACTGTACATTTAGCCTGGGTTGGAGGAGGAAATTAAAGAGAGTCTTCAACGCAATTGCCCATTTTTTGTAAACCAGCCATTAGTAATGCATGTATTGTAAAAGCTCGTTTTATTTTGTTTGGACCAGTAATCTGCTGCATGTTGCTCTTTTGTGTTCAAATACATTTCCGATGTGTTGAAGGTGGGTTTTGTTGAGTTCGAATGGGTTTAAAGTGCAAAGGAGGGGAAGGACATACCTTCTGCAATAAATGTGTGTTCACTGACCAAGCAACTGTCAACAATTTGGGGGTTTAACTCGAAATAACTTTTTTTTCATCACTTTTCGCAATGCATGGCAGGGCTGCAACTCTAAATAACTTATTTTTTTCATCACTTTTCGCAATGCATGGCAGGGCTCGGGTGCTATCACCTACAATTTAGAAATCAGTATTTAGAATAACCACTCACCCTCTCCACTTGCCCTTCCTTGTGTTTGGTCTTGTAGATGAGCAGGCGAGGGAGGCCCGTCTCGGCATAGCCTTTATCTTCAAACCCGTGCAGCAGGCGGCCCTGGAAGGCCAAGCGGCACGCATTAGCGTGGATGTCCGTATCCAGTTTGGAGCCAATCGCCAGGCAGTGTAAGGGGCATGTGACGGGCCGCTCAAATTCCAACAAGGCCCACTGCTCCGGCTCGGGTCCTGCACTGGACTCTCCTTGGCCTGTGACGTAGTCTTCCTGGAACAGGTACGCTCTGTCGAAGGCAAAGGCCATTTCTAAGGAGCCGGGCTGCGGATGTGGCGTGCCCGGCGGCAATCCAAAGAAGGTCACCCTCGCCATGACCGTCTCATGTCCCACCGTGATGTGGAACTTGGCCCGGGTGCTGAGAGAGCCTTTGAAGTAGCCGATCTTCTTGGCGGAGATGACAGCGGCGAAGACGGTGCGCAGGGAGCCCGGGGTGCACACCAGCCCCCGCTCCAACAACTTTGGGTCAAACTGTGTCACGCACACACCCACGCGGTCCCCTTGCATGGCCCCCGACACTGGCTTCCGAAACATCTGTATCGACTTTACCTTCTTAGTCACCTGATGGGAGACATGTGACAGAATAACACATCTTAAGTCTAAACACAGTTCAGTGCAAACTAAACAAAACAACTCTCACAAGTTTGTTGGATTCAACTCAACTTTTTGGATTAAAAAAAGCTATAATTGTTTTAACAAAGTGCCGTGCATACAAAATTAAACATAAGACAAAAAAACATGAAGTAGTAATGTTAATAACAACAAGAAATAACAACTGATAAAAAAATAGATGGATAAATAAAGGAAATATTTTACAAATATAACTCTTTCTCTTTTAACTCTTTATAGTCGGCAGATTCTAGAATAGCATCATCATTTAAATCAGCAGAGGGTAAAGTATGGCCCGTTCCATTTTTTAAAACCAGCCACTAAATTATCAATTGTCCTGTAATATTTGTTGCTTGAATTCAGACATTTTTTTCTAAAATTGATGGATTAAAATGTTTTCTCAATTTAGCTTGTATAAATTTTCACATTAGATAATTATTGATCAAAATAATGAAATCACATATTTAAGATTTGTGTTTCTTTTATTAAATACATTTGGATTATTTACAAGTAAATCAATTAAAAATAACAGGAAACAATGAGAATTACAGTCACGTTTTATGGTTAAAATTAACAATTTTACATGCACATATTAATTGTATTTATTTTTGTTTTCTTTTCATCTACGATTGACCTGGTTCTTTTCTCTGTTTTAGAAATCAAACATGGCCCTTGAGCAGAAAAATATTGCCCACCCTTGATTTAAATTACAGTTTATTCGGCGAACCGGGCAAATTATTTCAGAATGAGAAAAAAATAATCGTAAAAATATACAGTAACATCTGACGTAGAAAATTCACTATATTGCATCCGGTCAACTTTTTATTTCATTATAAACTTTCTAGATGCTGTATTATTGTTGTTTACATATTGATTCCATTTAATGTATAAGTCAAATAGCTTCACGTTGAACAAACCCTACAATGGATTTATTTTCGGTGAAACTATCACGTACACATTGCAGTTCCCATTTTATCTGACTAACTAGCATTTAATTTATCAGTCATTACAAGACACTGCACCAGTTTGGCGACCTTGATCACAGCGTGCAGCAACAGGAGAAAGCAGGACAGAATAGACTGTACTTTGCCTCCAAGTAACTTTTATTTCAAAACATTTGTCGCCACTCTGAGGTAAAAATGAGAACTGCAGCCAAGACTACATTGTTCGCCTTTGAGGTTGTGCTTCCTATAATTGGACTTCTTTGGTTTATGATGCTCCAATGGCCGCGATGAATTTACAAGTCAGTCAGAAAGTGCAATTTACTTCCGCTAACACAGCAATACTTTCATCATTAAAGTAAATATTTGAATGGAAAACACTTTGAGGCCATTAACTGCAATACAACAAAATCGAATGGATACACAAAGTAGGGGGATAATTTAGCATGCCTTTGTGCGCCACATGAAGACATGTTCTTATTCGCTGCCAACGAGTTTGTTGCGTACCATTTAAAACCTAAGTTGATATCGTTGTAAGTGTAAGTGATAACCCGCAGTCGTCACCTCATCCTTCCCAGACATTTGAAGTGACCCTCTCCACCTGATCCTCCCTCTGCTTGCCCATACCAAGGAAACTTCTGAACAGCTATTTCACAACATGCAGCGTACCTTTAGTGCTGGGATTTCCACAGTGTCGTTGATAGCCAGCGACCCCTGCAGGATGGTTCCAGTCATGACTGTTCCTTGGCCCCGGATGGAAAAGCAGTGGTCCACAGCCATTAGCAGGTCGCCTTCTGGGTCTCTCCGTGGGATATAGGTTTGTTTTTTTAATAGCTGAAACGGAAGAGTTGATAAACATAAATACATTCACATCACATGATTATCCCCATCCATCCCGCCGTTTTTTTTTCATACCGCTTATCCTCATTGGAGTCACAAGCGAGCTAAATCGGATAAATATTTCAAGAAAAAAAATAATAAAAAATAATTTTAAAAAATGTTATTGACCAATTTTAGAAAAAATAGCTACATCAATGCAGAAAATATTAGAGTACTCTTGATTGCATAATTGGTCAATGGGACTGAATAAAGAAGCACAATCTGATCAATTGCAACACCAATGCTGAAATAGGAAAAACATTAAGATAGTCAGAAAGATGTTTTTCACAATCTATTCATTTTGTGGTTGTACACACCAGAGCAAATTACAACCGGAGTAATAAAGATAGTTTCTTTTCATCAATAATGCTTTAAAACATAAATCAAAACTGAGCCTCGTTGGTAGGGTGTACGTTTTCTGGCATTTTTGTGTTAAAAAAAAAAAAAAAAGGAGAGTCAAAGATGAGTCAAAGCTATCAGTGTGGCCGTTTCACCTCGATTAACTCAGACACCCCTTGTGGTTCCTGTGCGTCGGCAGCCTCAGGGCCCCCGGGCTTGGCGGCCACCGCAATCACTGGACAGTCTTTAAAACTAGATGAAAATAAGATAAATCAACATTGTTTTATTGCTTGATAACAGTTCATCAGTCAGGAAATGTACCATGCCGTCCGTATTTGTCATTGAATTCCTGCTACATGTGCTCTGACGCAGACCTGGTGTTCTCCAGCGTTTTGTGAAGTCTCTTGGTCATTTTCTCAATGGCGCTTTGCCTCTTGTTGGCCGGCAGAAGGTCCGTCTTGTTGAGCACAACCACCATGCGAGGGCAGGTCATCTCTCCGATGAGCAGACACTCAGCTGTTTGAGTCTGCACTCCTTTCACCACGTCCACCACCAGCATCATCAGGTCGATGATTTGCGCCCCTACGAGACACGCAAACATACAAAAGCTTTGTTATGTTTATCTGAAAGTTGCTGGAAACACAAGATAGGCTTTTGTCTATTTGTTTTTTGCGGGGTTTTTTGTATAAATGGGTGACGGTGACTGGTAAAGTTGACGACAGCAAAACAAACAGGAAAAGAAGAGGAGACAAACATCAAATGGGAGGGGTGAACAAGAGTAAAGGGCTCGAGGGCTGAAACTCGAGCTGCTGCACGCTTGCTTGTCTTTCCTGACTTTGCTTTCCTGCGCTCAACTCTATTCGCTGCTTCTACTTGGCTCTGTCTATTTCCTGTGATTTCCCCACTTGGGACATGGGCGGGGTGGCGCTTAATATAGATACCCCAATTAATTCTTTCTCCTTCCAGCCCTAATCTCTGACTGGATGAAACCAACACAAGAACAGGGAAAGCATGCTAACTCCATACAGGATGGACGATATTCAAACCCAGCACCTCTCGACTGTGAGGCAGATGTGCGAACCACTTTTTACAGTGCTGCCTGTGCCTATTCCATACATGTTGGTGGTTCCTTCAGACTTCTCCATAACCATAATTTGTATAATACACATTTTTTATGGACTGGTTGTGTCGGTACAACTACCGTATTTTATCGTTCTTGAATGTTTGATTTTTTTTCGCCCCTTAATGTATAATACGTTTGCTTAATCTACAGGGAGTCCATAAAGACTGGGTACATGGTATAAAAAACACATACTTCTTTTTAAAAAAAAAAAACAATTGCATTCAATTCTAATGTTAATAAATAAAAATTTCAACATGATTCCCATCATCTTCAATGCATAATTTGATGCGCTTTGAAAAATTCAGGTGAACTCAATGAAATAGGTCTGCACATTGACTGGTAATGCGTTCTCCCTTGTGGCTCAAATCTGTAATTTTCATCAAGTACACTCTGTCTTTTAGACAGAAAAAGAAGTCAAGGGGAGAAAGGTCTGGTGAACGTGAACTCTCCGATGTACCCAACCTTTTTGAATATCGCGAATAACTGTACTGCTCAAAACTATGCTGGCCCCCCAAATGTCATAAATCTGATTTTGCGTAATTGGCGCCTCCTGCTGGAATTATGAAATTTGAATAGGACAATGTGATTAAGGCATTTTTCCATTTTCTGTGGAAAGAGAATATTGGATGTTTGTCTGTGTTTTATTCCTTTATTTATTTACGTACTTACTTACTTGCTTATTTGTTTATTGGGGGAGTTTTTCAAAGGGCCAGTGAGTGTGGTCGCACATCCCTAGTTTAAATTATATTGTCCAGCACCAACTCTGAACGTCGTGGGCGAATTAGATTTACATGGCAACACATGAAGCTGAAATCTAATTGGACAAAAACTTTTTCTATCTAACATGTACTGGTCGGAGGGCAGCCAAGAGAAACGCTATGGAATTAAAAGGATAGAATCATTCCATTGAATTGATATTAGAATATAAGTGGTAAATGTAGGTCTCTACAGGTGTAGGTGGCGTCTCACCTCCAATGATGGTCCGAATGAGAGAGGCATGTCCCGGACAGTCCACCAGGGTGAATTGCAGGTTTTCATACGGTCGCTGGTGGTCTCCGCTCTCCCGCAGCGGCTCGGGAAAGTCCACGGTGAAGGAAGAGAAGCCGAGGTCCAGGGTGATGCCTCTCTCGCGGGACTGAGGGTTCTTGTCGAAGGCAGCCGTGGATGCGGTGCTGCTCAAAGCCCGAGCCAGCGACGTTTTGCCGCTGTCCACATGCCCGAGCACCCCGATGTTGAAATTCAAAGTTGAGCTCCAATTGTCTGCCATGTTGAAGTGCTGTCACGTGAAATGCTCTGTTGGGATCAATTCGGACCATGGACTCAAGCGCCACTGCGGGAGGCGACTTGTAGTTGCCCAGGATTAAAATTAAAACCGAAATTCTCCAGCACGCTATTACATGACAGACAATGAAATTAATCTCTCAAAACTACTTTGACGTGTGGGAAAGTTGTTGCTTGTGTTTAGCTGGAGCCCATAGAAGTGTTTGCAGTAGCTAGCGAAGTAACTGCAATGGCTTCGTAGTTAAAAATGAGCGCGCATATATTCGCATGACGATTAAATCTATCCTTATGATATTTGCCTCACACTTATTTGACAATTGTTTAACTCACGGGTATATTTCTGCTCGTTTCCACTTTGACAACTTCGACTACAACAGGAAATGACAAAGGGGTTGGAGTTCCTGTGATAATAATGACTGACAACAGTCTCGGCCAATTATAGTTTTACTTGTACTGTTTCTATCCAATGACCTTGCGTAAAATACAAAAAAAGGGCAGGGCTTTGAGGTAATACTTCCGCCAATTTTCCATAGTAACCCCACATGGAAACCATTCTTCCTGTGTTTTGAGTTTCGGCGGCGGCGCGCAAAGAAGCTAACAGAAGCAAAAGTGACTATTTTGTCGCTTTTAAATCGCATTACTGTTCCGCGGCATAGCTACTTAAGCCACCATGAAGATCGAGGAGGTGAAGAGCACCACAAAAACCCAACGGATCGCCTCGCACAGTCACGTTAAAGGATTGGGCTTGGACGAGGCGGGTAACGCTAAACAGACAGCGTGCGGCTTGGTCGGCCAAGAAGCCGCCAGAGAGGTAATGTTGATCGTATGAAATTATTTGGACGATTCACTCGGATGACTTAACATTCATGAAAGGACGAAGTTGTGTGTTTGAATCTCCATTGTGCACTTTTAAGATAAAAGCCAGTGAAGTCACTGCTTCACACCACTGCACAAACCACGTTATATTTAGAACATCTGATGATAAGTTCCAACCTTTATTGAGCCAATTTTACATTAGAAACGCCTCATAGCACACCACCAAACAAGGAAGGTGTACATACACTGAAATGTCTCAATTTTCTCATAAATTTACTTTGTGAAAGCTGAGCCTTTTAAGTTGAACTAAAAGCTGTTCTGTGAATGGCATTGAGTAGATACACAGGTTTTAATTGTACCACATGCCATCTTTTAAGTTTTTCTGCCTGTCTGCTTTTACATTGCTGGTATGTCCAGATGAGCGAAAATAAGTTATTTATGCATTCCAAATAATGTGTCAGGAGCCATCACAATCAGACTGTTCCAAAATGTTTACGTTCCAGGCATGTGGCATCATTGTGGAGCTTATCCGCTCCAAGAAGATGGCAGGAAGGGCAGTTTTACTGGCCGGGCCTCCCGGGACTGGAAAGGTAATGTCCATATTTTCTTAAGTAGCAGTATCAGCCTTTTAAATTCACACTTGTTGATGTTTCTCCTCGCAGACGGCTCTCGCCTTAGCCATAGCACAGGAGCTGGGCAACAAGGTGCCTTTCTGCCCCATGGTGGGCAGTGAGGTCTACTCGTCAGAGATTAAAAAGACAGAAGTACTGATGGAGAACTTCAGGAGGGCCATCGGTGAGATTAGCGCTTCTGTTTTTGTTTTTCTTTCTCCATCACTACACCAACTACAATACACAGCAGGAATAAGCAAGCCATGCCACTGGTGTGGAGATAGTACCAGAACATAACTGAAAAGCCTTGTGTTATGGGCCACATTTCAGTGAATCTGTGGCAAGACTGTTCGAAAAACATGCAGTTGGTTGGCTGTTAAATTGTAAGTACTCTATTGACAAAAGTTGTCACTCTGAAAGTGTTATTTTGGAGAGAAACATACCACATTCATGAAAAGTTTGGTTTTGAACAATATTTGTTTGAACTAAAATATTTTAATCCCAATTTGCCATAATTAATGCCATAACCACAAATCTGTAAATTACGAAATTACACACACACACACACACACACACACACACACACACACAAGTAATTTGAAAGTATATGGTATGTTGCTGATGACTTGCATGAAAATAAACCTAAGAAGCTTGCTGAAGCTAGGCTAATTTTCCTTAAATTAGTTTTCTATAGATTTTGTTTTTTTTTTTTTTTTTAAAGAAAGATGTGGCAGTAACCCAGCATCACAGAACAGATGATCTGTTTTAGGACATTCCACTGTTTCTGATTTAAGTTAACAGTTTGGCTTGTTAGATAGTTGTGATGTAGTAAGTGGTAAAATAACACGGACCGCAGAGTTATGCGCGTTACTCTTGGTCTCCTGTTGACCCGTGAGAGTCATTTTGAGAAGGGGAAATGGGCTGGAAAGTTTCCGCTGCTGATGTTACCTGTCATAGGGAAGGAAATAGACCTTTTTGTAGATGGAGAGCACGGCTGGTCCTCCCATAGAACCCGATCTCCTGTCAGTGGTGGAGATTCCTACAAGCTTGTCACCACCGTGCCAATTACTGCCCTCGCGTTCTCTGATCTGAACGACGGAGCGTCGGCCACCTGTGAGCCCCTCCTCGTGGTGCAATCATGCCAAACGGGGGATCACTCAGGAATGATGGCCAGGAATGTTCACGGGCACGTGCACAAGCAATATCTTGAGGGGATGCCGCAGCGTCCTCTGCATGAGAAAACAAAGACCCGAGTCATTCCGTTGCGATCAACGCGTGCGATTGTCCGATCGACTCGCCTTTCAGGGCTGCGCATCAAAGAGACGAAGGAGGTGTACGAGGGCGAGGTGACGGAGCTGACCCCCTGTGAGACGGAGAACCCGATGGGGGGATATGGAAAGACCATAAGCCACGTCATCATTGGTCTGAGGACGGGGAAAGGCACCAAGCAGCTCAAGGTCTGACTAAAGAGATTTTTTTTTTTTTTTTATGCCTACCACTGCTCAGTTTTACTGACATCTGATCTATTTCCTGGAGCGTAGCTCCATCTAGTGGATGCACTGTAGATTGTGTCTCATAATGCGGTGCGTCCAATATATAAAAAAATTGCAAAATAGGCCATTAATTGAAGGTGCGCCTCATAATCCAGTGTGCCTTTTAGTGCGGAAAATACGGTATGTTTGAATTAAGTATGTACATTCGAAGGATTTTTTTTTTTCCGAGCTGTCTATTAAAAAACAAATGTAAGTGAAAGTTTACCCATCCTTGTCGTAGCTCAAGTAGTCAAACTATTCTTGATGTTCCCTAGTTGGATCCCAGCATTTATGAGAGTCTTCAGAAGGAACGTGTGGAGGTGGGAGACGTCATCTACATTGAAGCCAACAGTGGAGCTGTCAAGGTATCACCACACCCGCTCACTTGTTCTTTGCTAGGGTCAAAGAATATAATACAAGTCATTCATTCATTTGATTGAAGAGGTTTTTTTTTTTTTTTTTGGTCTGGCCTTTCATCTCTCACCTCTCGGCATGACAATCCGTGCTTCCTTTCCGAGTGTTCAGGAAAGCTGCTTTTTCTTCCCGCTATCTCTCCATCTCCCAAAATGCCTCCTCTCCTGCAGTGAGGCTTGCGCCTTCTGTTGACAGGTCACAAAGACGCTTTCTTTAATCGGTGCAGGTGGCCTCGTGACCAAGGGCGCGGGGCGCCACACATGTCTCTCGTTGACAGGCCTCTCTCAGAGCACGTCATCCATCTGCCAATCATCCGGCCCACCTGCTCTGCCATGGAAATACAGGAATCCTTACATTTCATGTTTTTGCAGAGACAAGGTCGCTGTGACACCTTCGCCACAGAGTTTGACCTTGAGGCTGAGGAATACGTGCCTCTGCCAAAGGGTGACGTGCACAAAAAGAAGGAGATCGTCCAAGATGTCACACTGCACGACCTCGACGTGGCGAATGCCAAACCGCAGGTTACCAAAAAAAAAAAAAAACGTTTTCAACGTCACAAATTTGTCTTGTGCAGTCCTCAAAGTGTTCTTTGTTTTTGTCACAGGGAGGCCAGGACATTCTCTCCATGATGGGACAGCTGATGAAGCCCAAAAAGACGGAAATCACAGGTTGGCAATGTTGCCGTCAAGTCCCCATCTGCTTCCACACTTGCGCTTATGTTGCTAAGCCGTCCTCTCATGTTTGTTTTTTGCAGACAAGCTCCGAGCGGAGATCAACAAGGTGGTGAACCGCTACATCGACCAGGGTGTCGCCGAGCTGGTGCCCGGTGTGCTTTTTGTGGACGAGGTCCACATGCTGGACATCGAGTGCTTCACGTATCTCCATCGCGCGCTGGAGAGCACCATCGCCCCCATCGTTGTGTTCGCCTCCAACAGGGGAAACTGCCTCATCAGGTGGACTATTACGACATAAAATCATACTTGGCTTGTTTGGTGGTGAGGGGTTTTCAATAGCAAAAAAAAAAAAAAAACATACACACGCCATGAGGACTCACTGTAATTTCTGCTTAAAGTTGCAACATGAGATTTTTGGTTAGTATGGTCGTTTCAAACTGAGTGCAACATACCAAGAATTTGAAAAATTGATGGGTTTCGAAGGATTTTTTATTTATTTTTTTTAATCCTCAATACAAATACAAAATACAAAACATTGTATTTTGTCTCCTGCTTGCAGAGCCACTTCTCCAATTGGCCGGCAAGTTTGCATTTAAAAATTTCCACAAATAAGCTCGTATGGGCTGAATTTCCACGGGGTTCTCAAGTCAACACATCAGGGTTTACTTCACGTTTCAAATTTTTTTTTTTTTTTTAATCCTCTATTGAAAATCTGGTCAAAACATTGTATTTTGTCTCCTACTTGCAGAGCCACTTCTCCAATTGGCCGGCAAGTTTGCGTTTAAAAATTTCCACAAATAAGCTCGTATGGGCTGAATTTCCACGGGGTTCTCAAGTCAACACATCAGGGTTTACTTCACGTTTCAAATGTTGTACTTTCGCCATCACTTTTCCCCCCACTTAAAACGTATATTTAATGTTCACAGAGAACGGATGTATGTAAGATACTATCATTATGCAGAGGTTGTAAATTGACAGTGCTAAAATAAAAAAGGAAAAAACATTATAATGTATTCTACAAAAGTTGAATAAAATTTGATCTAATTAAACATGAAAACATTTCTAAATGATTAAATACAAATGTATTGTACTTGAAAAGATAAGGTTTACTGTACTGGTTTTATGAAAGTGGAAGCCACGGTAGGATTCTTTCGAGTACCACTAGAGGGAGCTCAACTACCTACACTCGTGGGACTGATACCACAGTTTCAGAAATGTATTCTACAAAAGTTGGATAAAATTTGATCTAAATAAACATGAAAACATCTCTAAATGATGAAATACAAATGCACTTTAAAAGATAAGGTTTACTGTACTGGTTTTATGAAAGTGGAAGCCACTGTAGGATTCTTTCACTCACCACCAGAGGGAGCTCAAGTACCTACACTCGTGGGACTGATACCACAGTTTCAGACAATTCCACCAAGATGGTAGCCACTTGTCACACTGCTACTATAAACCAAGATTAACTCAAGATTCCCCCAGACATACAAAATCTTGGTCCTTCAGTCTAGAGGTATTACTTTAATGTACTTCCCTGACACGATTTGCTTTTTTCCTACGAACCAAGACTTTGGTGCTGTTTTGTGGCATCTTGAGGTGTTACAAAAACATTGTAAGAGAAGTTTTCTTCCAACCTTGTCTCACGTTTGCACTTAAGGGGGACCGAGGACATCAGCTCACCCCACGGGATTCCGCTGGACCTGCTGGACAGAGTGATGATCATCCGCACCATGCTGTACACGCCGCAGGAGATGAAGCAGGTCAGGGGAAGAACAGGAATCCTGAGCACATGCATCTGATATATATATATATATATATATTTTTTTTTTTACACTAATAACGGCTCTTCCCCCCTCAAGATCATTAAGATCCGCGCTCAGACTGAGGGGCTCAGTATCAGCGAGGAAGCACTCGCGCATCTTGCGGATATCGGCGCCAAGACCACTCTCAGGTACGCAAAAAGGCTTTACTGACAGAAGTATTATGTCGGTTTCACACCAACTTTAACCATGCGGTGTTGAGTAACTCGAGCAAAATAGCTTATGTTGTGCAATTTTTTTCCCCCCGTGAAAGATAGTGATTTTGGAGATAAGAGAATTCTGCCAAATGACGACCATATGGAATTGTGTATTCTACTATTAGTTTTTTTGCCATTCTAAGAATACATTAATAATGAGAAATAAATAGATGCAATCTATTTTGATCCAGGAATGTTGAACTTAAGTGTTGAAGAACAAGAAAAATGACCATTGGCCTGTTTGTTGGCAGGTACGCCGTTCAGCTCCTGACGCCGGCCAGCCTGCTTGGTCGCGTTCAAGGCAAAGAGACGGTCGAGCGGGAGCAGGTGGAGGAGATCAACGAGCTTTTTTACGACGCAAAGTCCTCGGCCAAAATTCTACAGGATCAGCATCACAAATTTATGAAATGAAGCGTCACAGCTGGCAGGCGGTCCTTGACCATACTGCGTTGTGTTTTTGTTTTATCTCATCATGACTCGTTTTCTCTGTTGTTGGCGTATTTCAATGTGCTTTTACTGATTGTTTGACTTTGAACTTTTGAATTAAAAAAAAAAAAAAGACCTGTTATTTCCCAGTAATTTGCCTTTTTTTCACACATTTTTACATTGTCATTTACAGTGACATGAATTGAGCATACACAAGAAACGAAAATATCCAAATATCTGAACATTATCTTTAATACAGCTCTTTTTAACTCTGATTAGATGGTGCAAATGTATCTTATGATGATCTCACAGTCAATGTATGAAGTGTGTTTTTAAACAAAAAAAAAAAAAAAACTTGCCAAACAATGAGCCACAAATGTAAAGGTGGTGATTGTTTACTTCCCGGCGGGTCGAGCTGAGCGCGTGTTCAAAGCCGTCTCTCCTCCTGACCTCACGCCACTGAACACGGATGGGGCGGTTTTACCCATTCTCTCTGTGGACAATTGAACACACAACAAGACAACAATCAAGATATTCTAATCGGACCCGTGGTAAGGTCTGTAGAACTTTAGGAGAAAAGAATCACTTTGGGAATGTTTCAAGTGGAAATGGAATCGTGATTTAATACAAATAAGAATCATCTTGGGTGGTTTGATGGAAAACAAAATCCAAGCATTTTAATGCTTTCCCCGAAATAAAAGGATAACTAAACATACACACTTTATTCCACTGGGAAAACAGTCTGTTTCCCATCTTGGCAGCCTTCACAACTCCCTACATGGAGTGGAAAATGTCTTCATCCTAAACTTACTGCAAATGTCAATTGCAACCCGTTATGTTCCACTGCTTCATTTTAGCCAACAACACATCGTCTATACTGCACGTGTGTATGCATGTGTGCACTCACCACACTCTTCCATGACTTCAAATGTTTTGCTCTTTGCTGGTCCACCCTCACCGAGTCTATTCTTTGTCTCAGCCAGCTCCTCCCGGCTGACCGCAGGACGCTGCACTTCTTCTTGCGGCTGCAAAGAAGAACAACAACAACAATGACCTCCGTTCAAGATTTTGCACAGCAGACATTCTAGAGACATTGCTCTTACTTGAGACATGGTGGTGATGTCAGCTGTTTTCTCCTTCGTGTAGCTAAGTTGTATATAGTCTGACAGGCTTGCAGGGGGAATACAGTAAATCTGTTTCTCAACATTAACAAATGATGTCATGAGTGTAAAAGCTCCTCCCACAGTTTATGTGTGTGCAAATTAATCCCAGTTTCAAACGTTGCCTCTTTTATCATCTGCTGGATGTCTCCGGCCTTCAACACTGACATCAACCCGGAGAGGAACAAAGAAAAACTTTTCAGGAGACGGCTGTTCCTCGAGGACGCTCATCATGCCGGAGGTGCTTCGAAAAAGGTCAGCGAAGCCTGCAGATGAGATGCCGACTGCAGAGCAAGAAGCAGAGGAGGCCGCAGGTACCTGTAACCGCAAAAGGAAGCAGTGTGGACTCTGCACAGAAAAAACTGATTGCTTCCAACATTTGTGAAAAGTGTGGTACACCGACTTGCCGCAAGCACATGAGGACAATTTGCAAAAACTGTTCCAAAAAAAAAAAGTTCTCACAAGTGTTCTTGTTGTTCGTTTGTTCTGAGAAGTGTTTGTTGTTCTAGTTTGTTTGTTGTTCTTGTTCAGTGTTTGATGGTTTGTTGGTTACATAAAAGTATACATATAAATTCTTCATAGTTGTTCTGACTTTTTGACCTTTTCAATGTTACAATTGCCTCGTATGTTTTTCACTTTCATATATGGCTATAACACATTACTGTACTATTTTTATTGTACACAAAGGGCAAAAGAAAAGAAAAAATATATATATATATATATATAGAGAGAGAGAGAGCGAGAGAGAGAGATACACACACACACATATATATATATATATATATATATATATATATACATATAATGTATATCAGGGTTGCCCAAACCTTTTGGACCGAAAATCGACTTTTCGTTCAACCAACTTCCCGGGATCCCCCCTTACCGCGCACGCGCACGCACACACACACACACACACACACACACACAGATACATACATACATACATACATACATACATACATACATACACACACACATGCGCACGCCACGATGAGAAGCCAAACACGGAACCAAGCGATGCACTTTTGCAGCCTGTTGACTATCGTAGCTCACACGTACCGTTTTAAAGTGCTTCCCTCAGCCCTCTCGATTCCGATTCTTTGCCCGTGCCCTCGGTGAATTGTACACGAAGCAAACTCTGAATGAGAATAATGACGATAAAAGATATGGCGCAACAGCTCTGATCACCAGCTGCAATTGAAGACTGCTGAGCGCTAACAATTTCCGCTGACGTAGATCACGCGCCACCGTCGTTAAAGATTTACCTGCTTTGTTTTAATTTATTTTTAAAATATTTTTGGGGGAAAATGAGACTGATAGGATGATTAGGGTGCAATGTACATTAACACAAAAAATATATTACTAACATGTCCAAAGACACACAAATGTTTTTTTTTTCTCCTCTCCACCTTTCGGATCTAATTGGGACGAGTCCTCGATCTACCGGTCGATCAGGATTGACGTAATGGGCACCCCTGCTGTATATTATATATACAGTATATGGATAGCTCTGAACATTTTGAGTGGTTGAAAGTTAAAAAATAAATAAAAAATCATAAATGCCTTAGTTATCAAAATATGTACTGTACGTTTCAGGGTATTTGCCCCAAAAACTGTGATTGTCAAAAAAATGGGAATGCAGAAAAAAATTATGTTATGACTTTTTGACTTATTAAAAAATAAAATCAAAATGTGGATGGATAACTCTGATGCCACTGAACATTTTGAGTGGTTGCAAGTAAAAAAATATTCATAAATGACTTAGTTATCGCACCTTTAAAACATCTACCATTTTGGTAAAATATGTACGTTACAGGTTAGTTTTCATATGCCTGTGTCTTATGTGTTGTGTTGTGTTATTTTGTTATTTTGACTTCAAGATGGCGCCGCTAGAGTGGCTGCCTTTCCTGCAGCTCCTACATTTTGTTCTTCTACTTCTTCCTTTCATAACTTTGCTGCTGTGAATTGAGAATTTCTCCATTGCGAGACTAATAAAGGATTTCTTATCTTATCTTATATGTTACCACAAATTCAACCGGAGCAAATTTAACCCAGGACTAAAGTGTAAGTGTTTCAGAGTCCTGGGTTTTTCCACTTCTGCTCCATTCCCCCTCCCTCTTCCAGAACTTGCAAATTCCACTCAAGGTACTCTTGTCTCCATTGAATTGCTAATTGTGCATGCTCAGCCCTGGGCGTGTTTGACTCTCAACAGCTCTCCACAATCATCCTGTAGATGCTTGTGGAGGCTCTCAGTTGTACAGGAAAGTTCATCGTAGAAAGGGTTCTGTCAGTCGTCATCTGTACCTGTGGGTAAAAAACAAAAAACAAAAAAGGA